AGCGCTTTCTCTTAGTCAAATATCGACGTTGATTTTAACCACTGTAGGTGACACTGCTGGAAACTACCGTACTCGCACACTACACTATGAGAGCATTTCGGATACAAGTCGTTGGAGAGATGGAAATGCGTGAAATTCGCCATCTTCAGGTTAGCTTAATTCACGATTTTGTAGTTCGGATAGTCTATTCTATCCGGTTGAATCTGTTATATATATATATATATATATATATATATATATATATATATATATATATATATATATATATATCCAAACCTAAAATAAACGCTTTTATTGTCTATTTAATACTTTTTTTGTCAAATTACTTTTGTTATAGTATACAGCTTGGCCTGACCATGGTGTACCGGACCATCCAACTCCTTTCCTCATTTTTCTGAAACGAGTGAAAACGCTCAACCCTCCCGACGCCGGGCCCATTATTTCCCATTGCAGGTAGGCTCGCGCGAATCATTGAGTGTTTGCTGATCAACCACATCATCTCAAACAATTTTCTTAAGCGCTGGCATCGGTAGAACAGGAGCATTCATTGTGGTGGACTGTATGCTTGAGAGACTTCGTTATGAGAATACCGTGGATATATTTGGTTGTGTGACTTCTCTTAGGAGTCAGCGATCATATATGGTGCAGGTTAGTTACCCAAGTTTGATTCACCCTATCTTATTTGTTATTGTTGAAAGAATGTTTCTAAGAAAGAAAAAACGAATTATCTGAGTTTTTTAAGTCGTGAGCACTAGAGAGTTCGAAGATTTTGGGGAATTTAGACAGAAGATCAATATGTGTTTATCCATGACGCCGTTCTTGACGCAGTTAACAGCGGTTCAACTGAGGTGCCCATAGCGAAACTCAGACAACACGTCATGGCTCTACAGCAAATCGCTCCGATGGAAGGTGCAGCTGGGATGGAATTGGAGTTTAGAGTATGTTTTCGATTTTTTTTTTGCCCTTACTTTACACCGTATCAACTCTAAATGATGGCCCTGCTTCGACAATAGAAGTTTGGGATAAGCCGGAGATTGATTTTTTCTGCTGTAATTTTGTTCATTCTATTATTCTTAAATCATATTGCAAAAGAATTGAAATGTTATACCTTTCCTTCGAGTGCTTTATTAAGACCACGCTCAAATTTCAATAAATCCTTTCATTATTATTTGAGCCAACATGTCATGTGGTCTGGTAAGGGCTCTTGTACAGCCCGAGACACGTGTTTCGTCCTTACAGACTCATCAGCCGGGCAGAACCCGTCGTCTGTCGATCTTTTTATAGTCAGTTCTCTCGGGAGCGTTACGCTCCTTATATATAGTTATCGACGACCTACGCTTTACACTCTATGTCAGGTGAAACATTCACCTAACACAGAGTGTTTTCGCACTCGATTGCTAGCTGGCTGGTATTTTTAATCATATTATACCTTTCCTTCGAGTGCTTTATTAAGACCACGCTCCCGAGAGAACTGACTATAAAAAGATCGACAGACGACGGGTTCTGCCCGGCTGATGAGTCTGTAAGGACGAAACACGTGTCTCGGGCTGTACAAGAGCCCTTACTGACCACATGACATGTTGGCTCAAATATTAATGAAAGGATTTATTGAAAGTTACAATAAGAAAAACTCAAAGTAGAATCATCTTCAGTTCTTGCGTAATGTGATAATTTGAATATTTTCCACGGATTAATAACGATTTTCAACACTTTAGATCAATTCTAAGTTTTTATCTACTGCCAAATTCATTCTTAACGGATGAGCACACTGTGAAAAGAATGCGGAGGTACGAGGAAAACTTTAAAGCTGAAGTGGCTTCGAACCCGCGATTATGCTTTTGGAGGGTTCACCAGATTTTTACTACATCATCGACGCCCTCGTTTGCTTTTGTGTCAGCTGTGGAATGGGTTTGACATAGGGAGCATAAAGTGGTATTACACCCTAATAAGCCATGACCGTAGTTGTAACTAGCTTTGAAAAGAGTAGGCGCGGGTTCCAACCTCTTGAGATTCCAAATTGTGATCGTATGTTAGCATTTCGTGGTTATACTTTACACTTAGAGGCCTTAAAAAATCATTCATATTGATCTCTACCTATTTTTTTAGCATCTCTCTGCATTGAAATGGGGAAATGCGCGGTGTTCCATCGCGAATCTGGCAGTGAACCGACACAAAAATCGTCAATTAGCTGTCGTTCCTTACGACAGCAATCGTGTCGTTATACAACTCATTCCTGGTGTGGAAGGAAGTGATTACGTGAATGCTAGTTGGGTGGATGGTTATCGGTGAGTGTTTCGGTGACCAACTCATCGTACTTTTTCATTTTTCATACTGTGATGATCTTATCGCTTTCCACTTGAAGGGAGCGGTGTGCTTATATCGCAACACAAGGGCCGATCGACCAAACTGTTGCTGATTTCTGGCGAATGGTTTGGGAACATGACTGCGCTATTGTAGTTATGTTGACGAAAACCTGGGAAATAGGACGGGTTAGTTTAGTTCTACTTAAGACTTCGAAAAGTCACACTATAGGTCTCTATAATTGCTGCATTTGAAGGAAAAATGTTGCGAGTACTGGCCACAGGAAACCGGGGCACAAGTGGGCCAGTTGGTTGTTGAGCCCATCGCCGAGTATAACATGAGAGAGTATATCTTGCGAGAGTTTCGACTCAGTGATGTTCAGGTAGTTTCCGACCCTATTTTTTCATAGGTTTCAATTGAAACTTTTCGCCCTTTGGGGGTCATAGAACCATCCCTCTCGTCCATAACTCCAGCTTTTTGGTCAAACAACGACACGCTAGGGGCTGGACGCAACACGCTGGGAGTTAGGGGCGAAGAGGGTTGGGTCATGATCCTGAAGTGGTTAATTGATGATCTTCGTGGTGCAATAATTGAACATTTCAGTCCGGTCTCTCTCGTACTGTTCGTCACTTCCAATACACCGAATGGCCAGAGCAAGGCGCACCAAAATCGGCAGAGACATTCCTGGATTTTACTCAACAGGTTTGTTATCATACAGATTTGGATACATATTCCAAAATCTTGCAATATGTCTCAAGTGCACGTTCTCTGCTAGATTATGACATTAAGGATGATCTAAATTTCTAAAAATCGCGTAATTTTTAGGTCCATCGAACAAAGTCTCAATTCGGTGTTGATGGGCCCATCGTGGTTCAGTGCTCTTCGGGTGCTGGTCGAACGGGAGTATTCATCGCATTGGCAATTATCATCGATAGGATGCGTCTGGAACATGTCGTAGACGTCTTCACAACGGTTTGCTTGCAATTTTTCCGTCCATCTGTGGTCTTCAATATCAGGCTTATTGCTATTCATTTTCAAGTACTGTACACCAACTGAGCCGTTTTAGGTGAAATTGTTGCGTACAGAACGCCAAAATATGGTACAGGACAAAGATCAGTACTACTTTCTGTACATGGCTGCCTTGGAATTCCTTTCCTCTTACGAACAATATCCATCCTCGTAGAAGGCTCACCCTCCGGTTTCCCTTTGAACGTTTGCCCCGTGATTGTTCTCATCACCTATTGGTGCAACTCTAGTGTAATAATGTTGCGGGTATTCTGTTGTATCATTGTCGTCAGACGACCATCATACTGTCTCTTCTTCGTCTACGGGTCTCTCCAGCCAATTTCTTATTGTGTCTTTGTGTTACTGAAGTTTGTCTCACTTTGTTATTTCTCGTATTCTATATATGTTTGTAGTGAATTATCTCTTTTCTTCAAGAAAAATCTATTCTTTGTTGACACGAGCGAGCTGGATTCATTCACCATGTTGATATGTTTGTTTGCTCATTTTTTGCTTTCTCACCTGTAGTGCACCTCAAATTCCAGGTCTCCACGACGTAAAAATCACTTTAGAATTTTTGCCATGTGCTGAGGAATTTTCCGAGATTTCTCAATACCTTGGAGGCGAAAGAGATGTGGTAGAAAATGTATTAGTATATAATAAATTATTTCAACTCATGTCCTTTTTAGTAGTATTTCGACGCAACATGTAATAATCCTAACACGGCTTTCAGATCTCGAAAGAGTGAGAATTAATTTAAAGAGCAAATTGCTAGCCAGACAACTACTGGTTGGTTGTAGACGAGTTATTGATTTGGTGTTCAAGTATTAAAGTATATGAAGTAGATTTTAAAACTTGCAAGCTGGTCCTGATATTTTTGCTAGTTTTTCTCAAATCAATCTCGAGAACTGGGTTATGCTTCTTGAACAAGGTGTGTTACACGATTTATAGAGACAAAAAATAGTTTGAATACCCGTGTTTTCTTTCTGAACGGATTAGAGGTTGCCTCAATAACAAGGTTTATCCAATCGCCGTCTTCTTGGCGGTTTCGTCTTTTTCAGAGCCTAGTAAGGTTAGACTAATTAATCTAATACATCTAAAACCCGCGCTGAAGCTCAATAAACAAAGTCCTATTTGCATGGTGAACAGCTCCTCTCCACTCACAAACTCGTATATCCAAGGACTCTAGACCTCAGTTGGGAGTTGAACACCCGTTTCACCCACGAAGGCGGGAAGCACGATTTCAACTGTCGCAGAGGTTCAAAGTACGGCTGTTCAGGAAATTACACATAGTTCCATTAGTCCGAAGCGAACCTCAGTGCGTGGAGAAGTGATTCGTGCTGCTTACAACGCCGGTCGCTGAGAGACGCTCAAATTTTGGGCTGCACAGGAGGTTAATGGAATTGAATCAAGCAAGCCGTGTCTGAAAATCCATTTTGCGGTTCTTTTCGGCTATCCATCATCTGTTCTTTCTAAATACATACCCTGCCAATGTGTGATCCATATAAATAATTCCGCGGGCTCGATGGAAGGTTAGATCTCGAAGATTTGAGGTGTATACTCTCAGACATTGCGTGTGTCAGTTTAATCCCAGAAGTCAACGTTCAGACGCCCTGCGGATAGTGAGCAGTGCTTTCCACGTGGTTCAAGTATCCTTCCAATTATACCCAATAATGTAGAGTGATCTGCAAAGCATTTGCGTCAGGCGGGACTTAAACCCGCATTTCACCCAATCCAGCAGCGCGTGTCCTATCCCTTGCACTACCGACGCCTGTTTTGACACCACTCTTTCTACACTACAATGCATCTGTCTGTCAGCAACCAACCGTCAGCGATTTGACCTGGATAGTCGTTATCGACATCAAAGCCAATCATGCTGACAGATATTGTGTATTAGATGATCAAACAGAATTCTTTTGATTTTACCGCTATTAGCGGTGATATGATGATACAGTATACCCAATGATGGAGTGATGTGCAAGACATTTGCGTCAGGCGCGATTTGAACCCACATTTCACGCAATCCGGGGGTGCGTCTACATCACTGGGTATACTATAACATCATACCACCGTTAGAAGCGATTGGAAAAAAAAACTCTATTATTCCAATTCTCTCCTAAAAAGCAGGTTTAGCAAGACTGTCGAATAAAAAGTCAGCGCGGAAGAAATGTCTTTGCTGTGTTTCACAATTTGACACCGAGCTATACACCAGTCTCATTAGTTATAATTTTCACATTTCGTTTAGTGGAAGTTTTTAAAAATAGACTAAATATACAGATTATAACTGGCGAAGTCCGAGAGAAACCACCTTACCTATAAAAATCAGAGGGTGAGCATTTTAGCACTTTTATATGGAGGGTCAGTTAGAGGTAGACTTATGCCATGGCAGACCTTCTTTTGATAAGAGACGTAGTGGTCGGAAAGCAGCAAGTAACTTACTGTGTGAAGGGAAGTCATGTTATTGATGAATGTTCTAAAGAGATTTGTAATAAACAGTCTATTAGAAATGCATTATATTGCTCATACCAGCAGCAAGACATCGACGAACTGTCAGTGATATTCTACTCAATTACAAGTTATCATTTTTCGGCTTTCGATCCCTATGATAGGAGGCGAGTGGCCGAGAAAATGGCAGTGACGATGGCGAAAACGCCGAAATAAGCGTGTCAGCCGAACTGTTGCCACGGATGAAGTTCTAATCAAATCTCGGAAAGACGGCTGAAAGCATTCTCAAAGACTATACAGGGTGCAGAACAATTCCGTTTATTTTCAAAGATCTTTCAACTCTAAAAAAATGCTGCAGAAGCAAATGAACTTATTCAATCGCAGGAATAAATACGTTTTTCAGATCAAATTATAACAATGAAGAAAAATGTTTACAGTAATTTCTCAAAATTGCTTCCTTCGACTTAATAAATCTACGAAGTCGCTTGCGAAATTTTCCAGCGATGCTCGCACACGTTCCTCATCGTAGCTTCTTCCCAAGCTCGTGTCAAAGCGGTGTTAAGCGTGTCTAACGCTAGTGCAGCGAGTAGCCGAGACCATTTCCTCTAGTTTGGATCACGCGACGGAAACCATTGGGTTGAGTCTAGCGGATTTGACGACCAAATTTCCTTGCCCAAAAGCCTGGAAACAGTTCTCGACAAATGGCAATCGGTTAACGGGCCGACTGCGCAGAGACCCAGCCTCCTGAAGAGTAATCCGTTGACGCCAAAGTGTTGAGTAGTCCAAAACTCCAATACGCCCTGTAAAATTTAATGCTGATAGCTGGCACGGTTGAATTTTACGTTTGCGCTGATAAAGACCAATGGAGTCTTTTCCGAGCCATCATTGAGGCCAGAAGATGAATACGGCCCACGGTTTTTGCTACTGCGCACTCCTACTGACACTTCTTGAAAAGTTGACGTCGATTCTGACGACTGTGAGGTGGTCTGACCATGAATATCTTCTCATGCGTAAAAAGAACATTTGACAAACGAGCACCAGCTATTAAACGAATCATTAGGCAAGCCCTTCGTTTCCTTTCATCTTCTTGTCCAGAAGGTGGACCTGAGAGATTTCCTGCCGCGTAGTTTCAGCTTAATTTTGACAAGGTTTTGGACGGTCCACTCGCCGATCCCGGGCTTTCAAAGGCTTGCGCAATGATTCGTTTGATAGCTTGTGCTCGTTTGTTGAAAGTACTATTTACGAATGAGAAGTTATCATGGTCGAATCACCTCACAGTCGTCAGAATCGACGTCAACTTTTCAAGAAGTGTCAGTAGGAGTCCGCAGTAGCAAAACCGTGGGCCGTATTCATCTTCTGGCCAGTGATGGTCTGAGCCCACAAATGCTCTGCCGGGTTAGACACCGTTGGTGTATTGCTGCTGCGTAGCTTCAGCTTATTTTTGACAAGGTATACATATAATGCCGTAGTTTACCCAGTAGTGAATGCGCTTGTTATTGAGGATAAATTTTCCAATCATCACATCTGTCACCTTATCATTTAGGAAGTCTTATCTGGCACGTAATGTTTATTTGCTAGGTATTTATAGGAACTTTTTGCAAGTAAGTCTTCATTTTATAGCTCGGTTCTCCGCTGTCCTGTTGTGGTGATGAGTAGCTTAGCAAACGAGAAGAAAAAAAAAGAAGTCAAAGGATCGCCACCACAACAGACAAGTGATAAACGCGCTACAGTAGACGAAGTTAAGGTACGCGATACTACTTACTTATCTTACACTACTCTTGATTTTTTTTCAGCTGAAATATACCAAATCAAAGGATCAAATCGTTGAAAGTAGAAGAAGGAAGAAAGGTTGTTTTGACTCAAATTTTACTACTTAGTTGACAGAACTTGATCATTTCAGGCGAAATGAGTTTTGACGAGGAGGAACTTGTAAGTCAGCAAAATTAGTGTAAATCATTGAAATCGTTACTAAAACGAGTGAAATTAATGATCAGTGTACTGAAATAATTCCTCGATCTTTTCATTAAATAGCGTTTTTTCAAGACAGCTTTAAAAAAGAACGCAGAGGCGGCGCTCACGGCTAACCTTTCAATGGAAAGTACGCATAATGTCGGTGGCAAGCCAGCAGTCCCAGCTGTAAGGAAGTCTTCGGAGGGTGCTACGGATGGTTTCGGAAGCAAGCCAGCAGTCCCAACTCTGAAGAAGGCCTCGAGCGGTACGTTTATAGATCGTCAATTCCGTTCTTTGTCTTAATCAATTGCTACAGTTCTATTTCAGAAAACGGTGACGAAGACGAGTCGGTTTGTTAATTGTCGATTGTCTTTAGTTCGTTTTTGAACCTCTAAATGAAAATAGCTTCATATTCTGAAAAATTGTAAACAGGAGAGCGAGAGTGAAAATGGGCCAGCAAGCAGTAAACCCAATGCAAATAAAGATAAAAAGAAAGGTGAAACAAGAATTGAGAGGCTTTCTTTGGCGTTTTGGTGGGCATTAAACTTTCTTCATTTTTCAGATCCTACTGTGGTACTCGATGCACTCGAAAAAGCGGATACTCTTGACCCGAAGAAAGCATCGGCTGATAATAAAGAGATTGTGAAAACTAAAAAGGGTAACGGAGTTGAGCTGTAATTCCTTTCAAACTTATCATCACGCCCTATATCCTTATCATTATAGATACCAACGCGATATTAGATACACATGAAAAGCCAGTTACTCTTGATCCGAAAAAATATCTAGCTGATATTAGAGCATTTCCGAAAATTACAAAGGGTACTTTGAATTGAGTTGTAGTTTCATTCATGTTCAGCGTCATGTCATATATTCTTATCATTCCAGATACTACCTTAATATTAGATGCGCTTAAAAAACCGATCACTCTCAATCCGAAAAAAGATTCAGTTCATAATAAACCGGTTCGAGAAGATAAAAAGGGTAGGTGAAGTTGAACTGTAGTTTTTTCATATTTATTGTCGTGTCATATATTGTTACCATTGCAGATTCTTCTGCGGTATTCGAAGCACCGGAAAAGCCAGAGACAGTGGATTCGAACGCAGAAGTAGGCCCTGTAATAGCCCCTAGTTGCTATATTGTGAAATTAGTGGTGCGCCGATCAGCGGAGAGCAGTAAATTATCCGACGTTTTCAAAGAATTGGGGCGATTGGATACAGAAACATTTTAGTATTTCTGGAACCATTACCCATTGGCGATAACATGACCGATCGGACCACATACGGCTGAAATTCATTTGGTCGTTAGCTTTGAGACTTGGTGATGACTGTGATGAGAGTCGGTGATGGGAAGCACGCTAACTGATAAAGTCCTACTACTGGTTTGACAGAATCAAGTGCTAAGACTTCAATAGCCGCTAGTTATCGCTGGTCGAAACGATTTCAGGAAGAAGAATAAGTGTAACTCAGTATGTGAACCAACGATAGCTGCCAGAAAAATTAGGTGTGTATGGTTAGATGGAGTGGACTTAAGATGACGCGTGAAATTGGATGGAATTTTCCGGATGGGTTGTGAAGATGAGATGATGCCTACTTCGAACCTAATTAACTGATCCATGCTGTCGGTTTGTTCACGCGTGGCTCAGCAGTTAGCGGTGCGTATAAACGACAAGAGGTCGATCCGACATTCCGGGCTTATCAATTTAATGTTCCAGAGGTCGGCCATTGATAGATGATAGACTTATCTAGGGAAAATGGTAATACTGACTTCATGCCTCACTAGCCTATTGTAAGCCATTGTATAGATCAGATTTCACCTGTAATCAAACGTAAGTCCGACTTTTATCAATTCTCCTTGCATCGTAGAACCACCAAATTATCTTTCCGGAGGTCGGCAAATTATTTGGTAACGGATTTGTAAGCCAGAAAAGTTGTACTGGTTCCATACGGGATAGGCCACTGCAAGTCATGATAAAGATCAGATATATCCTGTAGTGAGTCGCAAATTCTACTTTTACTGAATTTCACCATGAATAGTCGAAATGTCTTCGCAGCTACCCTTTTCCGAAGCTTTGAAGAAAATACTGCAGCGATACCAGAAGCTATAGAAGTGGTAGTTTGTAAGATATTTTCGACTACATTTGCATGCATTCAATCACCAGCAACGATGTTTAATGAAGGGAATTAAACGCCCATTTTCCATGAATTTGAAAAAAAATTGGATCTCTTACGCTGCTACGTAACAATGTGTTTTGTGTGGCCAGATTAAATTTCTTAGACGAATGTTCAGAAACAGGTGAATCAAAGCTACGGAATTCTGGCCTAAAAGTTTCTCCATGCTGGGAAAATGATCACGTTCAATCATTCCGTAGCTCATACC